GACCACCGCAGCAGGCCCCTCCTCTGGGTGCATGTGTCAGACCAGCAACGTAGGGCGAGGCCGGGATCTCCGGGCCAATGGTGGACCATATTGCCCAGCAGAATGGAGCCCCGCTGGTGCCGCGCTGCCCCCTGCAGGGCAGAAGGGGATGGGGTCAGCAAAGAGGACGCGGGGGCTAATGCTCCCGGGCCACTCTGTGACTATGAGGCTGGGAGTGGGAGCCGGCCCGAGGGTGGGTGTTTTAGATGCCGGAGGCCAGGAGGCCTTTGGGGAAGGACTGAGATGCAGGTGCCATGTCCAGATGCCACCGGCAGGTGAGTGACGTGTTCAGGACTCTGGGGTGACAAGGCACATGCCCAGCCACCGCACGGCGGGAGGGCGGCTGCCACCAGGGGAGTGACGAGGCCGGGACTTGCCCTTACACACTGGACGGAGCCCCTGGGGTTTGACGCACCTGGCTCCAGCGCCGGGTCAGAAGGCACTGGGGGGTCTCAGCACCCCCGTCAGCAATGGGCGTGGCACCCAGCCAGGCTGCCCAGCAATGGGGGAGGAAGCAAGAGACATGGGCCCCACAAGTGGAGCATCCCCACCCCCCACCCGGGCCTTCATCTGGTGTAAACAGGCGAGATCCATGGACGCCCATGGCATTACGGCCCAGTGACACCACCTAGGATCGGCCCCATTGACGCCAAGGCCCCTTGACCCCTGCTGGGATCCAGCCCATTGCTTCCCATGGTGTTACAGCCCATTGAGCCCATCTGGGATTGGCCCCATTGTCTCCTATGGAACTACGGCCCATAGACACCACTGGGCTCTGGCCCATTGACTCCCATGGTGCTATGGCCCATTGATGCCACTGGGATCCAGCCCATTGACTCCAATGGAGCTATGGCCCATTGACCCAGCTGGGATCCAGCCCATTGACTCCAATAGAGCTATGGCCCATTGACCCAGCTGGGATCCAGCCCATTGACTCCAATAGAGCTATGGCCCATTGACCCAGCTGGGATCCAGCCCATTGACTCCAATAGAGCTATGGCCCATTGACCCAGCTGGGATCCAGCCCATTGACTCCAATAGAGCTATGGCCCATTGACCCAGCTGGGATCCAGCCCATTGACTCCAATAGAGCTATGGCCCATTGACCCAGCTGGGATCCAGCCCATTGACTCCAATAGAGCTATGGCCCATTGACCCAGCTGGGATCCAGCCCATTGACTCCAATAGAGCTATGGCCCATTGACCCAGCTGGGATCCAGCCCATTGACTCCAATAGAGCTATGGCCCATTGACCCAGCTGGGATCCAGCCCATTGACTCCAATAGAGCTATGGCCCATTGACCCAGCTGGGATCCAGCCCATTGACTCCAATAGAGCTATGGCCCATTGACCCAGCTGGGATCCAGCCCATTGACTCCAATAGAGCTATGGCCCATTGACCCAGCTGGGATCCAGCCCATTGACTCCAATAGAGCTATGGCCCATTGACCCAGCTGGGATCCAGCCCATTGACTCCAATAGAGCTATGGCCCATTGACCCAGCTGGGATCCAGCCCATTGACTCCAATAGAGCTATGGCCCATTGACCCAGCTGGGATCCAGCCCATTGACTCCAATAGAGCTATGGCCCATTGACCCAGCTGGGATCCAGCCCATTGACTCCAATAGAGCTATGGCCCATTGACCCAGCTGGGATCCAGCCCATTGACTCCAATAGAGCTATGGCCCATTGACCCAGCTGGGATCCAGCCCATTGACTCCAATAGAGCTATGGCCCATTGACCCAGCTGGGATCCAGCCCATTGACTCCAATAGAGCTACGTCCCATTGACACCAACTGGGATCTGGCCCATTGACTCCAATAGAGCTACGTCCCAGTGATCCCAGCTGGGCTCTGGCCCATTCATTCCCATGGTGCTATGGCCCATTGACACCACTGGGATCTGGCCCCATTGACTCTCGACAGTTAGGCTCAGAGGTGTTGGGTCAGAGCCTCCTCACAGCCATCGGGAGAGACCCCCTCCCCTCTTGCGCTGCCCCTGAAAGGACTGGGGCACAGGCCATGGCAGGATGGGCCACACAATGTTGCCCCCACAAACTGGGGAAGCCCCCCTCTCGTTCTCACACAACTGCCAGCCATGCTACCCCCCCAGCGCCTTGCCACACTAATGCAGGGGGTGTGCTGGGGCTTCCTGTCCCCTCTCATAATCCCTCACCTCCTAGTGGGCGGGAGGGGAGAGATGGGGAAGCTCCTTGGGGGGCGGGCGGGAGATGGAGGGTGACGAGAAGGGGAGGAAGGAGCGCTGGAGGCCTGGGGGATTATGGGAGAGGGAATCTCTGCACTGTCTTTGCCTGCAATTGTTCCGAAGCGCTCCCTGAGGATCCCTCCCGTGGTGACCCCCTGGGGCCTGACACCCCACCCCTGTGGAACAGGGGACACTGGAGATGGGGCTGGCCAGAGGTGGATGTTGGCCTCACACACACTTCAGGCCAGGCCATCTGGTGGCAGATGAGGTTGGTGGGTTTTCAGCTCAGCATCATTCTCTGGCCCCTTTATTGGCAGAAGCGGCGAGGAGTCCTGTGGCACCTGAGTATTGGCAGAGGGGCCCATCTCCAGCTGAGGGGGGCTGGGGGGAAGGATGCCCAGCCGGGCCCCTGGGCAAACTTCGGAACAGCCAGGTTGGATCCATCTATCTCAGTGTCCTGTCTACTGACAGCAGCCAAGGCCAGATGCCCCAGAGGGACGAAACAGCCAGGAATCCTCATGTGATCCCTCTCCTGTCACCCATTTCCAGACAAACAGAGGCCTGGAACACCATCCCTGCCCATCCTGGCTAATAGCTAACATAACCTAACCTCCATGAATCCATCTAGCTCTTTTTTGAACCCCGTTAAAGTTCTAGCCGTCACCGCATCCTCTGGCGAGGAGTTCCACAGGTTGACCGTGTGCCGAGTGAAGAAAACTTCCTTTGGTTTGTTTTAAACCTGCTCCCTATTAATTTCATTTGGTGACTCCTAGTTCTTATATTGTGAACAAGTCAATAACTTTTCCTTTTTCACTTTTTCCACGCCAGTGGTGATTTTATAGGTGATTTTATAGGCCTCTAACCTATCCCCCCTTAGTCTCCTCTTTCCTAAGCTGAAACCTCCAAGTCTTTTTAATCTCTCTGCAGTCTGCCACAACTGTCCCCTCCAGGAGCCAGATGCCCACTGCTCCCGTACACAGAAACACGCCCGCCCACGTGCGTGCCCACACAGAGTCTGGGAGCTTCCCAGCTAGGGCTGGAGATCTCTCCAGGGGAACCCTCAGACACAAGCTCCCTTCGGCTGCTCTATGACATCAGGGGTGATGTCACAAGGGAAGGAACCTTCAGAGGGGGGCCCTGGACGTGGAGGGCGACCAGCAGAGGGGCTGGGCCAGGGAGGTGGCGGCCAGGTAATAAGCCATCTTGCAGGCCCTGCGGAGAGGTTTCATGGGAGTTATTCAGAACCAGATCCTGGCTCAGTAGGTTGCATCTCCCTCTTGTTCAGGGGGGCCAGGAGGTCCCTGGCCTGGGCCCCAGGGTAGATGGCTCATGGCCCCATAAGTCACCCCACTCTCACCTTTTTGGTTTGGGGGAGGGCGGGGTCTGGGTGACCTGGACAGCTGACCCCCAGGGAGCAGGCCCAGCACTGCACAAGTCCCTCCTGACTTGGGGGGCTGAAAACGGGTAGCCTAAAGGGCTCTATCCTGTTTTAATCCTGCCTGTTTACTGCTCCTAGGCAGCCTGGCTCTCTAGGCAGGGCCACACACCTTACTGGCCTACAGCACAGCAACCTTTAAGCCCTGTCAGTAGCATGGGTAAGCAACAGCATCTATTGATGTCACCCATCCAAACACAGACCCAGCTAGGCTCTGCTTAGCTTAACATGATCAATGGCGCTACAACAGTGTGAGCTATTGAGGAAAAGTCCAAAGAGTGCTTTTTGGGGAAGGAAAAGGGGGGGGGGAACTAGCTCACAGCAGAACACTGTTAGGAATTCAAGGTGTCAGTAGCATGGGTAAGCAACAGCATCTATTGATGTCACCCATCCAAACACAGACCCAGCTAGGCTCTGCTTAGCTTAACATGATCAATGGCGCTACAACAGTGTGAGCTATTGAGGAAAAGTCCAAAGAGTGCTTTTTGGGGAAGGAAAAGGGGGGGGGGAACTAGCTCACAGCAGAACACTGTTAGGAATTCAAGGCTGATCTGGCAGCCCCCCCCTATCTCCATCCCCCCCCCGTTCCTGTTCTCTGCACAGCGCTCCGGCATGGCTGGGAGGGGCAGCAGCAGGATGATCTCTTTTGAGCGGCGCAATCAAGCCCTCGTGAGCATCCC